TAATAGCTTTTCTTTCATGGAGGTGCAGAGAGTGTAAGGCTGAAGCAGCAGGCTACAGGGGAATTTTTGCCTTGCCTATTTTGTTTCCATATGACCATGCTGCTCCTCTGTGTAAAACCCTGGCAAAGACTCCCAATGCCAACTGGGTGAATCAAGGGTCCATAGCATATTGTACAAGGCCCCCATGACGCAGGCCTTCTCCACCTCTCCCTACTGACGCCCTAAGCTTTAGCCATCCCAGACTACATGCCATTCCCTGAACATGCCAGGTTGCGTTCTTCTTCTATGCTTTTGCTCCTACTACTTGATCTGCCTAGAGCACACACAACTCCCAACATAGAACATAGATTTGTTCCCAATCAGGAAACAAATAATTTCCTAACTAATCTATACACTCTCCAAGCAGAACTAACTCTTTCCTCCTGGAATCTTCTCTGCCCCTGTATAGACATGGATCATGGCACCAATAATGATTTATTGCATTTATCTGTCTACAGTTGAACTCCATCCTTTGTATTGAGGCAGAGGCAGTATTACATGCATTTATATTTCTAACATATGGCATGGTACCACGAACATAGTAGGTTCTCAATAGATATTCACTGAATGAATGCATAAACAAACGACTCTTTCTAACTGGAAATATGACCAGAACCAGCTCAACCTGTCTTTCTCATGTATATCACTTCTCACGTTGAGGAAATACCTACTGTCCCTTCTGACAGATGCCCTTGGAAGATTGGTGCCCACTTACAAAATGATCTGAGGGTCATCAGAAAAGGAATAGAGCTCAAAGAGTTTCTAGAAGCTACAGATCTAGATTTTCTGCTCTATAATTGTNGCCACTCGGCCGGCCCTGAATACTAATCTTTATTAGTGCCAATTTAATTTTTTATTTTGTTAAACTATGTTTGTTTTTATATGCTGAAATTAACTAATATTAATTCCAGACGATGCAATTACAAGCCAAGTGACTTGGTTCATTCCAAATTAAAAAAAAAAAAAATTACCTTCCTTTTCATCCAAACGGTACTTCTTCCAAAATGGACTGACAGAATAAAAAGAAAGAATTCCAAGGTTAAATATTAGCCAGAAATTTTCTAACCTACATAACAAGGGATGTATATACACACACGGATATAATATAAATTAATATACATTATACTTGAGTTGGTTAAAGATTAAATTTTACTTTTCTCCCCCAAGACTTTGTTAAGAGGTAGACGAAACATCAATGTTGTTTTCCTGAAATTAAAATCCTATATCTTTGTCTTTTTGTACAAATGTGTTCATTATATTTTTTGATGACTCTCAAGCATATTAGAAATTGATACTTTATATTTTTAATATACTAATATACAATACATGTGTTTTTAAATAAATTATTTTCTTAGCAGTAATGCACCCATGGTATTTTCAGAGTCCAGAATTTTTGGGGAAAATAAAATGGTTAGATGTCAATAGATTACTTCAGCTGCAACCAAAACTGTATTGATAGAATTTATTCTACTTGATATGGGTACTGATTATTTTCAGTACAACTTCAAGACATAATATCAATGTTAAGGTATTCTTAATGTTTTCAGAAACCCTGCTTATATATACTGAAAGGATCATAACATATTTGAGGGGGAAACAAATCTCACTTCTGGTGTAGAAGCTCTAATGATCAAGTGTGGTTGTTCTTATTTCTTAGATCTCGTTGCCATTCCTGACTTTGGATCTGGAGCCATGGAAAACTGGGGCCTCATCACATATCGAGAGACATCACTGCTCTTTGATCCCAGGACATCTTCCGCTTCTGATAAGTTGTGGGTCACCAGAGTTATAGCCCATGAACTAGCACACCAGGTACTTGGCACTCATGACAGTCTCTTAGTATCAGTCCAAAAGAGCGTTATACAAAACACCACCAATCTTCCTGAAACACCAAAAAAATCATCATTTTACCTCTAGAGGGGACCTTAGGGATTATCAAACAAAAGGGCTCAAGCTCTAAAGCATTGGGACTCATACACTATATCCTCAAAAACACTAGAAATAAAGCCTTCAAATGTCTTTTAAAAAAGAATGGTGGGGTCTGTGCAGATACATAGAGCACAGAACTGGAAACCCTACAAACAGAGATTACTATTAAAGATATTTTTTCTTATACCCACTAGTACTGTGGCATTCCAACTTAGGGCAAAATCAGGCTCGCTCTCAGTT